ATACATATGTATCTAATTACTTATGAATATATATAAACACATGTGTATCTAAATATATATGAATATATATAAATACATATGTGTATATAAATATATATGAATATATATAAATACATACATATGTATATAAATACATATATATATATATATATATATATATATATATTCACACACATACATACACACATACATACATACATACACACAACTTCAAAATAAATTCTCACCCTGTACTGAAAACAGTTTCAGCGTCTCAGCGCCACCAGCTGGTGAGAGGTGGTGACGTCAATTTGAACCCCGCCCACTGGAACCGGTACTGAAAGCATAATGGAAACACAACCTGTACCTTACTGAGTAGAGTAGAGCCGTGCTGTACCGGTACTACAGGTACTAATGGAAAAGGGGCATAAGTCACAAGGACTCTTTTACAAGCAAGACCTGGTTTAAACAAAAACCATAAATGGGGTATACACAACAATAAACATTCATATGAAAGCATATAAAATGAAAAGTATATAAAAAGTTATATGAAACAAAATAAAAAAACATGCTACATTATAAAATGGTGTAACATACTAATAACAGGAACATATCTGCATTGACTTTTGCATTGAACAACAGTAGTTTAAAATACCTTAAGGAGGTCAAGGTCGAGAGTTTCAGATCTTTTTGCAAGCTGTTCCAGGTTACATGTGCAGAGTAAGAGAAGGCCCTTTTGCCAAATTTGGCCTGCACTGATGGGACACTGCAGGGAAAGATGTCTTGGGAGCATACATTATAGCTGCACTGACTGCGTGACATATAGGAGGAGATATATGAAGGCAACAAACCAAAAAGTGATTTAAAGATGAAAATGTACTAGGGTGAGAGTCTGCGTGAAGTTAAGGATGACAAGTTGACCAATGAATACAGAGTGCAATGATGAGTACGATAGTCACAGCCAGTTATGAATCTTAACGCACCATGAAAGATAGCATCCAACATCTGTAAGGTGGTTGCAGGAGCATTCATGTAAATAATGTCTCCATAGTCAATGGAGGGAAGGAATGTAACAGTTACAAGGTGTTTCCTAGCATTCAAATTTAGACAGGATCTATTTCTGAAAGAGAAACCCAATTTTACTTTCAATTTGTTCCACTCCACTCCATCCTGTCTGGACTCTCTATTTCACCTCTTTACCACATTCCCCATTTTCCTGAACAGTGGACCCCAAGTACTTGATGTCCTGCACCTTTGTGACCTCTGTTCCTTGTAGCCTCACTGTTCCACCTGTCTCCCTCTCATTCACACACATGTACTCTGTCTTACTACAGCTGACTTTCATTCCTCTTCGTTCAAGTGCACATCTCTACCTCTCTTACGTTCTCTTCTACCTGTTCTCACCACATACCCTGTTCTCATCCCACTCCCCTCAGGCAGAAGGATGCAGAGCATTAAGTCTAGAATCATTAGACTGAGGAACAGCTTCTACGCTGATGCTGTTAAACTCATAAATCCCTAACTAGGATAACCACTGTAGAAAAAAAAAACCTGTAATGCCACTTTGACTGGTGATATGTGCTGCTGATTATCTATGCTGCTGATTTCATGCTGCTGATTATTTTATGCTACTATGTTCATTCATTTGTACCCATCTGCTCACACAGACTCATCTTTAGGCTGCTGTTGTTACGCCGTATTGTTTTGCATTATTAGTGTTAGTGTATGTCTTAAATCTTTTAGTGTCTCGTTTGGCATTTGTTTAGCGTATATTTTAGATCCTTATATACTGTTTCTTTTTACTGTATATTTTTGCTATTGTCGGGTGTAACTGGGACCTGGGAAATAAAGGTGTGGCTACAGTGTAATATATCCTTACAGCAATTTGGTTTGCCATCAAATACCTGTGGAGAGTGAATAATTTACTCCCAGTTAGCTGACACACTGGGTGTGAAAGTGGGTAACTTGCACAGGAGATGAAGGAGGTGATGGATTCAGAGAATGAGAAAGAAGTGCTGACACTTTTTGATTGATGGCAAACATGATGCTGCCTAATTCCTTTGTATCAGAGCTTACTGTTTGTTGTTGCTTAATCATTTTTTGATGGGCAGAAACATTGCTTTGATTTTCTTATTTTAAGTAAGTAAAAGTTAGATGAACCCTTTTGGTGTCAGATGTACTCTGGGGTTTGTGGTCATGGCTGGACCGTTCTGTCATTTTTTTTTTTTTTTTTTGTAATAATTGCTTTTTTTTTAACCCAAAGTTTGTAGTTCTGAAACCATGTATAATCAAGGACACAGACTTAAAAAGGACAGTGGTTTATTTTTACAGGTGCGTGACAGGACCAAGGACTGGCAGACTTGCAGAACATGGAGAATGTTGAGTATGATGATTTCATATAAGGTGGCAATCATAAAAGTAATTGAACATAATCTTAATGTGATTATATTTTTTAGGCTTGGAGAGTGGCAGCAGAGGATTCTAGGCTCAGAGTAGTGATGGTTTTTTGATATGCGGCGCAAGTTCAGGTTGGAGATCAGTAGGTCTGGAAGGTGGCTGAGTCAATGATAATCTTATCTGTGATTTTACAGGCTGATGAGGAAGAAAACTACAAGGTAAAACTCAGGAGGTATCCTGTCCAGGTTCGGGGAAAAGGAGTTGCAAGGATTTTGCAAGGACACCACATAAGTAAAAAGCACAAGGTTTTTCACTGAGAATATTTGAATGCCCTCATCGGCAGGCTAGCATCAATTTCCGGTGTGACTTAGCCTTATACAGTGCATTCGGAAATAATTCACAGCACTTCACTTGGACTCTTTCTTGGCCACCTTCAGGACCTTCACAGAGTGTTCCTGAAGCCACTCCTTTGAGATCTTGGCCATGTGCTTTGGGTCATTGTCCTGCTGAAAAATTAACCTTCGTCCCAGTCTGAGGTCACGAGAGCTGTGGAGCAGGTTTTCATCCAGGATGTCTCTGTAAACTGCTGCATTCATCTTTCCTTCTATCCTGCCTAGTTTGCCAGTTCATGTTGTGAAAAAACATTCCCACATCATGATGTTGCCACCACCATCCTTCACTGTAGGGATGGTATTGAACTGGTGATGAGCGGTGCCTGGTTTCCTCCAAACATGATGCCTGGCATTCATGCCAAAGAGCTCAATCATTGTCACATCAGAGTTTTGTTTCTCATGGTCTGAGAGCCCTTCAGGTGCCTTTTGTCAAACTCCAGACGGGCTGCCATGTTCCTTTTATTAAGGAGTGACTTTTGTCTGACCACTCTACCATACAACCTGATTGGTGGATTGCTGCAGAGATGGTTGTCCTTCTGGAAGGTTCTCCTCTCTCCACAGAGGTATGCTGGAGCTCTGACAGAATGCCAATTGAGTTCTTGGTCACCTGCTTGACTAAGGCCCTTCTTCCCCAATCACTCAGATTAGAAGGCCAGCCAACTCTACAAAGAGTCCTGGTGGTTCCATACTTCTTCCATTTATGAATGATGGGAAGCCACTGAGCTCATTGGGACCTTCAAAGCAGCAGAAATGTTACTGTGGCAAGCCTTTTTAACATAAAATCGGATTCGCCACGCTTACATTCCAGATGTCTGAAATTGATTTATGACTAGACATATTAGTTATTTAAGATGTCTTGAATTACATTTTGACTAGTCAAAATGTAATTGTTCCTAGTCAAAATTCAATTTAAGTTATCTAAAATGTAACTACAGATAGTCAGACTACATGATTTTATGTTAAAAGGGCTTGCCATAATGTTTCTGTATTCTTCCCCAGATTTGTGCCTCAACACAGTGCTGTCTTGGAGGTCTACAGACAATTCCTTTGACTTTGTGCTTGGTGATTGTAGTGTTTGTGCTCTGACATGCTCTGTCAACTGTGGGACCTAATATAGAAAGATGTGTGCCTTTCCAAATCAAGTCCAATCAACTGAATTAACCACAGGTGGACTCCATTTTAAGTTGTAGAAACATCTCCAGGATAATCTCTGGAAACTGGATGCATCTGAGCTAAATTTTGAGTTTCATGACAAAGGTTGTGAATACTTACAAAAATGTGGTTCTATTTTTCTATTTTTAATAAATTTGCAGAAATCTAAAATAAAACAACATTTTTTTCACATTGTCATAAAGGGGTATTTTGTGTAGAATTTTGAGGAACTTTGATGTTTTGAACCACTGGCCATTGATACCTCAGAGGAGTCGACGGGGAAGAGGGCGGACTCCAGAAACCATCTCGTCACCATCAAACTAGGTTGGCCCACTATGAGAATGTGCTACTTATGTGACTGAGTTTGTTATGGCTCCTCGGACTGATGAAGTCTTTTGGATGAAAGTCGAAACGTTTCAACACACTAAAAAAAAACCATCTAGAGGACCTGACTTAACTTTGTTGGATAAAAATGTATGTTGTGCCATCTAATAACTGCCTAATGGAATCATATAGAATGTAGAGTATTAGTGCAATCACTGAACCTTGAGGAACCCCATGACTAACTGGTATAGGAAGAAGATTCATTAATGATATGAACAAACACATCTATCAGAAAAATATGATTTAAACAGTTTTGTAAACCCAATATTATGTTCAAGCCTCTGTATTGTACTTCATCAACATTTTTTGGGGCTGGAGCTCTTTGCTGCACCAGCTGAAGTTCAGGAATTGTTGAAAGCTGAAACACATTATTTAATGCATAACTTTTCCATTTTTTTGTGTAGTTAAATGTAGGTGATGACTGTTTGGGATCAAGATTGTGGTACAGTGTTTAGTGTTGATTCACCTTCTAAATCTCTGTACTTTCTGTTAAATGAAAGATAATTATTCTTCTGTTATGCAAGTTTTGTTTTTAAAGGTGTGAAGTGACAGATTTTAAAAGCAAGTAAAGCAGCAGCCATTTCAGTAAAACATGCCCACCCCCATCCCTACCCCCAAAAACAACAAAAACCCACTGAGGTTAAGAAGCTCAGCAAGCTGCAGAAATTCATGAATACTGCACATTTGTGTCTTCAGGTTGTTGTTTGTCTGTCCGACAAGCTGCTGTCACAGGCGATGATGGTGGTGGAGAACTGCCGTCCCACTCTTACCATCAACTTGGCTGGGGCTCGGCAGCACTGGCTAGAGGGAATGCTGAGGCACGAGATAGGTATGCTGAAGCTCACAGACATAAGACACTAGTACACGGCTGTTTGCGGGAATTTGTTCATTGAGTTCATAATATTTCTGTTATTGTCATATTGCAGCAGGATTCAGATCATTTGACATTTTGCCTTAAAACAAGTGTTTAACAAAAATGTGACAATCCACAATCACAGGCATCTAAATGGACTGTACTTATATTGCACCTTTCTGTCTTATAAAGATACACAAAGCGCTTTACAACACAATCGGTGCCCTCACAGCACTTTACTAGATCTATACAGAGACTAATTAGAGCTTTATAACATTCATACACCGATGGGACACACATCAGAGCCAGTGAGGGGTTCAGTGCAAGGGCATCAAAAACATCCGTAACGTGTGTGTGTGTGTGTGTGTGTGTGGGTGGGGGGGGGACACTGATGTGTGTAGGTACGCGGGCATAAAAAAAGTGTACACTAGTGTACAAAAAAGCAGCATTTCACATAGATTTCCTTTAATTCAACGCATTAAAACATGTTTCTCATCAAGTTTGTGTAAATTCAGCTGTGGGTTTTAGAGACATTTTAACTTTAATACACTTTAACACAGAGCGTCAGGTCGGCACTATTTGTGTTTATAGAGAAATAAAAAACATCACCACTGGACTTTTTTACTTGTGATCAACACTACTCATCTAAATGATGTTTCTCATGAAGCTTGAGGACAATAAGGTTTGGGGTAGAGATGCACCGATCCGATATAAATATCGGTACCGATATCAGAAAAACTTCTGGATCGAGTATCGGTGACAATGTGACAGATCCATTTTCCGATCCAACTTGCAGTGATTTCCAATCCATGATGCATGTTGGCTTCAAACTATGGAATGGATTTCCTGAATGGAGGCGTGTCTCATGAACCCAGAGTAATAAGACCCGCCTCACATTCAGGAAATCCAGTTCATAGTTTGCATCCAGCTGCAATGTGAGGACTGAGCGAGTAGCACTGTGGCTAACAGCTAACAAACTTTTCATCTAAACATGTCTGCTGTATGGAAGTATTTTACACTAGAAACACCACAAGATTCTAATACAAAACACACACTAAGCTACTTCATATATACTTTTTTAACAATCCAGCTTTGATCTTTTTCTTAAATGTACACATTGACTTGGCATTTTTCACATCACTCTCTAGACCATTCCACAATCCAACTCCTTGGATTGAGGTAGACCTTCCCTTCAGACTAGTTCTGAATTTTGTTTGACAAATATTTCTACCCCCTTAAGATTGTAACAACTTTGTCTTTTAACAAAATTTCTTTGGATATTTAATGGTAATGTGTTATTTTGAGCCCTATACATAACTGATAAAATACTGTAATCTACCAAATTATGGAACTTCAATAACTTCAGTTGATAAAATAATGTGCTTGATGGGTGACAGTAATGCTTTCTGGTGATAATTCTTACAGCTCTTTTCTGTAAAATAAAAATAGGTTTTGTAAATGTTTTACACGCTTTCCCCCAAACATCAATGCAATAGATTAAATGTGGAACAATGATTGTGTTATACAACATGTACAGAGCTTTATCATTTAATAATTCCCTGACTTTGTATAGAACTGCAATACATTTAGATATTTTTATTCTTACAGAATTTATGATTCTTCCATGTTAGCTGTTCATCAATGATTACACCCAAAAATTTAATCTCATTAACTCTACAAATCTCAACACCCTCACTTTTAAATGGATCATCAACAGTTCTCTTTTTGTTACTGAATATCATGTATTTAGTTTTATCTAAATTTAATGATCATTTATTAAGTTTAAACCAAGTTTGTATTTTATCAAATTCTGTCTTCATCAATTCCAACATCAGTTTTACATCTTTACCCAAACAGAAAAATGTGGTGTCATCTGCAAAAAGGACACATTTGAGGAGTCCTGATACATTCACTAAGTCATTCACATATAAAATAAATAACTTTGGTCCAAGTACAGAGCCTTGAGGAACTCCACACGTGATATTGCACAGGTCAGATCTTACACCATTTATTTGTACAAACTGTTTCCTATCTTTCAAATAGCTAGATACCCAGTGTAATGCTGGTCCTCTTATACCATATTTATTTAATTTTTCAAGGAGAATAGTGTGGTCAATAGTATCGAATGCTTTTTTTAAATCAACAAAAATACTAACACAATACTGTTTTTGATCGACAGCAGTAGTTATTTGTTCTATTATTTCCATGAGAGCCATTGATGTAGAGTTTTTTGCTCTAAACCCAGACTGACTGCTACTTAGAATGTTTTGTTTAGTAATAAATTTATCTAATCTGGTCACAAATAGTTTTTCTAGAATTTTTGAGAATTGTGGTAATAAGGATATTGGTCTATAATTATTTAACATACATTTATCACCATTTTTAAAGAGAGGAACTACCTTAGCTACTTTCATATTGTCTGGAAATATTCCTTTTGAAAATGATAAATTACAAATATATGTAAACGGCTCGATAACATAACTCATTATGTCCTTTACAAACATCATATCCATGTCCACCCAGTCTTTTGATCTCTTATCTGTAAGATTTTTTACTACATTCATTATTTCTTCTTTGTCAGTTCCATTAAGAAAAATACTGTTGTCACAACTTATAACTGAATGGTTCACATTATTGTCTACTTTTGGTATTTTAGCTGCAAGTCTTGATCCAACGTTCACAAAATGATGATTAAATCCATTTACAATATCATTTTCATCATGGATTTCATCATCATCCTTCAAAAAATATTGTGAAATACCTGTTTTTGCTTTATGACTTTTCAGAACACTATTTATTACTCGCCATGTTGCTTTCATATCACCATTACTTTTATTTAATAAATCACTATAATATTCCTTCTTGTGTTTCCTTATAACCCCTACTAATTTATTTTTATACTTCTTATATTTCTCTTCGGCCTCTTGTGTTCTCAATTTCAAGAAACATGTATACAAATAATTATTTTTTTTACAAACATTTCTCAACCCTTTCGTCATCCATGGTTGGTCAACAACATTTCTCTTTGTACAATTATTTTGCACACAATTCTTTTCATATTGAGCTCCTAAAATATTCATAAACTCATCATATGATCTGTTCACATCATCAACATACACGTCTTTCCAGATTTGTTTATGTAAATCATCTTTTAATTTGTCCAATGCTTTTTTTGATGTGTTTATTTATTTCTTAATTGTAAATTCTTTTGTAATGCTTTGATCTTTTTTATAAATGATGAAAACTGGTAAGTGATCACTCAAATCACTCATTAAAATACCTCCTATCACATCCCCATTTGTTATATTTGTGAAAATATTATCGATTATTGTAGCACTATGAGTTGTAATTCTTGTTGGTTTTGATATTAACGGATAAAGATTTAAACTATACAATGAATTTGTAAATGTACTGATGTTATTTGAATCTGTTTTATTTCTCAGGTCAATATTAAAGTCTCCACAGAAAAAAAATGCTTTTATTAAAACTTGTCCAATAGTTGTACGATTTTATCAGTGAATATTTCTATATTTGATCCTGGAGATCGATATACACAACTTATCAATATGTTTTTATCATTTTTTTTATTATTTCTATTGTTATTATTTCCATGATATTATCAACAATTATTGACATTTCATTAATTAACTTACATTTTATTTCATTTTTAACAAATAGAGCCACTCCACCACCTCTTTTGTTGCTTCTGTTCACATGATATAATTCATACCTTCCATGTGAACATTAGTTGTGTTTTCATCGTTGAGCCATGTCTCTGACAGTGCTATTATTGTAAAGGTTCTGTTTAGCTGTTTTAAATAATCTGTTATTTTGGATATATTTGCATTTAAACTTCTACTATTAAAGTGAATAATAGAGAGACCTCCATTTGTTATATTGATGTCATTAAACTGTTCTTCATTGTAATATTCACAGTCTTTTATTTCAGGGAAAAAATTTGTATCAATCACATCTTCAACATTGTATATTTTAAACTCTAAGTCTTCGTATGTTGCCATGTTTTAATGTATTTGTTCATTTTGTATCTTGTTAATTTCTTGTTTGTGAAGTTATGTCAATGCTTTATCATCTGTCCTCTCCTGAGCTCATTTTAGTTTTTCCAGATCCTTCAGGTTTTTTATTATTTTAGCCTGAGATCCTTCCTGTATAACTTGTCTATAAGTTTTAGTACAATATGAGAAAAAACAGTTACCTTTGTGGTGCAGCTGGTGCATTAATCAGAGCTTCTCTCACTTTATATTTGTTTTATGGTGGAGTTGTGGCACTGCGTTATCACTAAAAAAAGCTGCATGAAGGAATAACGTACGTTGGGTCCAGCATATTAAAAATAAACCTAAACCACTCGCCTTCCACTGAGCTTTTTGCTCGTAAATCCTTTGTGATATAGCAAGTGACGCAATGGGAAATTTTTGCAGCCATTGGGGTATTGGCTGGAAGTTTTTTGCAGAGCTCACTGGTCTAGTGCTTTCGCTTTTCATCTTCCGTGCATTTTCTGCTATTTCCAAAATACTGTACCGCAAGTTTATTTAACACTTTTGCAAACAACCGTGCTCTTGTTAAGATCTGTCTTCCCCAGAACATTGTAGAATTCGAATGACTTAAAGACGTAGGAGCAAGTTGAATCGCGCTGTCCTTCTCCATGCTAGCAGACTCCATTCAGATAAAGAGAGCTTACTAACTAGCTTGCTGTACGGTGGCCTAAACAGCCAAATTATACGGCGGCTGAGTGGACACGTAATGCGACATGCAGTACGCTCAAGAGTAGGAGCGGAAAAAAGCAGTGCATTTTTAATTTGATTTATATACCATACCATACCACTTTATTTATAAAGCACTTAAAACAGCTACAAGGCCAAAGCAACCAAAGTGCTGTACAGACAAAACAACAGGTAACACACCAAGCAAAATACAAAATGTGGTAAATCAGAATATAGACATAAAAACGATGCAGATAA